GTATGATATTTGTATGTAATGTGGACACAGAGGTTCCCACATCAGTTTGCAAAACAATTGAGCTGGTAGCATGTTGATAATTTCTAAAAATTAGCAAAAAACTGTTCTGGGGTCCGCGCGGACCCCAGGTGTACAGATTAATCAGTCCGGGAAGGTGTACTGTTGAGGGTTAATGTAAAACCTTCAACAGACAAACAAAACTATTTACATTTAGCATTGCAGCTCAGATTCAGGCAAGTCGCATCATTTGTGTCCATTAGGATAATCTTGATACGTAAAAGAGTCTTACCTCAGCATACTCTGCGCAGACGATTTCCGTGCAGAATCTACTGGCGCTGATGAGCTGGTAGACGGTCGGGCCGGTCCCGATGTCGAGCAGGCGGCTCCCTGGCTGCACCACGCCTGTCAACATCAAATAATAAAAATAATACAAAGTAATAAAAAAATACAAAGTAATAAAATAGTAATAAAATAGTAACAAACAATAAAGATCATCAAAATAATAATTATCATAATAATTAAAAAAAAGAATAGTTAAAAATAATAAACAAGAATTCCAAGACTTCATACCTCCATGAAATATGGGCTTGATATGTAAATTTCTTCTTTAATTATGCAAATGACCTCTGTATTAACATAATATATGCATCGTGATGTATGTTAACTTTTGATTAACTTACAGATGTTCCAAGTATGACATTCCCATCATTCACCATTAAGAAATCATAGAATCTTCGCATTAATTATGCAAATTAGGTCATCATTTGCATGATTAGTATCTGTTGATGTTCCGCCTGCCATAGGTTACATACATTACATGTATGAAAGTAGTACAATGTAAAACACTGTAATTATAGAATTTCCTCATTAATTACTAGTATGCAAATTAAGTCATCATTTGCATAGTTTTCATTTAATTATGTACATCTCTCTCTCAGCTACCTACACACCAAAAATTTTGAAAATATGTTGTTCCTATCTGGACTTATTGCAAGCTGCTAGGGGGACCAAACTAACACCACTTATTCCTGACAGGAAAAGCTATCTGTCACCAAAACATCAAGACCATAGCATGTTCAGGACAAAAGATACAAAAACCGGAAGTTCTGCTGCAGTACCAAGGTCATTCACTAGGAGGCCCATATTTGACCTTGGCGTTCGTCTTCCTAAGACTTACCAACATACCAAATATCATCATAATCCATAAAGGCGTTATGAAGTTATGCTGACTACAAAGTTGCGGAATCGGCACATCCTACGCCTGAAATAGGTCGCCTAATCCCCTGAGGAAGAACCTCATTAATCAAACCAGGTCGCAAGCCCGGGGCAGCCTCGACATAATCAGACATCTGTTACCCTGTCTGGCAGATTCCTTATTAAACCGGAAGTGCTACTGCACTACCAAGGCAATCCACCAGGACGCCCATATTTGACTTTGACATTCGCCCCCTAACACCTACCAGCATACCAAATATCACCACAATCCATGAATGCGTTATGAACTTATGAAGGTACAAAAAAGCCCGGGGCAGCCTCGACATAATCAGACATCTGTTACCCTGTCTGGCAGATTCCTTATTAAACCGGAAGTGCTACTGCACT